CTACATACACATAACACGATACGGGTCAGGTGATGGGTCACATGAGCCTCTATGAACAATAGAACTAATCAAGCCTATTGTTAGTTGATGACCCTCTTTTGCATGTGACTAACCTGTTTGTCCATGTGGAGGCGGAGCTTATAAGGCTGAGTTCACCTGAAACTCATCAGACTGAATAAGTCTCTTGGAGAAGAGACGAAACGTTTCACTAAAGAAGAACCATCCAGAGGAACTACTGATTTTTTTTTTCTACCTGGATGCTTCAGGACAATTAGTCAGGCGTGACTTATAGTCCAGAAAATACGTTATTCAATAAAGTAAAAATTACAATGTTGTAAAACTATTCATAAAAGTATTTTTTTCCAAACGGTTACTCAAGTAAATGTAATTGAGTAAATGTAACTAGTTACTACCCAGTTTCTGCTTATAATCCAATTGAACATCCATTTATATTTCAGGTTGTAAAGCAACAAAACAGAGAATCTGTGTCCAACAGGGGAGAAAAATGAAGGAGGTTTACCTTCCAGGGACAGTTCAGCCAGTTTCAGAGGCAGGTCACCAGGGTTGACTCCTGCTGGAGACCCAAGGATGTCAGGCAGAGCATTTCTCCTCCCGGAGCGACCAGAGGAGGCGAAGTCCAGCACTGGCTCCACTTCCGTCATCCCAGGTCCACTTAACAAGAAGGAAGGAAAACATTTACCATCATTAAAACTGATGTCCCAAAACAAATCTGATGCACTGTAGGCCTGTGTATTGGCAAGAATTTGGCGATACGATACATATCATGACAGACGGGTCATGATACGATATATCCCGATATATTGCGATACTGTAAACAAGGCGATATATTGCGATTTTTTTTTGGTCCAAAAGTTCTATTAAATAAAAACCTCTTACTGGGAAAAAAATGAAAAACCAAAATTCATTGTCTCAGAAAATTCTATTACATAGACATGCGCTAGCCTTCTATAACGTGAAGGCTGACTAAAGTTGGAAAAATGAGCGCACTAAACACTTAATTTGGTGTAAAATAGAGATATTCTGACAAATAAGTAACTGTTCGTAACCTTACCTCAGCTCAGAAGGCAGAGGGTGTCGGTCTTTTCTGCTCAGATTCAGCTATCGGAGCATGAAGCTAATGTTTACTCACAATGCTAATGCTACCCTTACTCTCTGGCGCTCAAGAGGTAGAGGAGCCAAATGTCTGGCTCACTGCTGCCAACTAGTGGTCAGAGGCTGAACTACAACATAAAAATGAACGGCTGGCAGGAAAGTTAACATTTTAAACCTTAATTAAATATTGATACAGGACTTTAGAATATTGATACAGTATCTGGAAATGAAATATCGCGATATTTCAGTGTATCGATATTTTCTTACACCCCAATGCACTGTGAATATTTCTACAGTAACTACAAAATAAAATTAGTGTAACATTTACAGCATGTGTGTTAAGAGTAAATAAAGAATGTGAAAGCTTTAAAACGAGACACAGTCAGCACTGAAAGCTGTGAAGAACTCAAGTTTCATCAGAGAAAAAACAGAAACATCTTGAACTGACTCAAAGAAATTAGCTGACTTTGCTTTTTTCTTTCTCTGTTTGTTTGTTTGTTTGTTTGTTTGTTTGTTTGTTTGTTTGTTTGTTTCAGCCTCTAGTTTTGTATCAAGCATCCTTTAAAATAAAGGTGGGTAATAAAAAATATATAATTTAATCAGATAGTAGAACATGGAGGACCACTCTGAAATAAAGGTAGTGGGCATTGATTCAAGGATTGTTAGGCCTTTATGTCCTTCCTTTTGATTGGAACAATAATTTAAAATCCCAGAAAAGGTTAAACAACTGGACTTATACTGTATATGGTCTACTGTTTGTTTGCTTTTGTTTTAAATATACATTATTTTGGATTTACCACATCCTGAATGACCCAAGAATCTTCACCAGTCTGACGGTTTATTCTGACAACTTTCTTAAAGGGATCCCTGATTAGTTGTAACATTAGACTTTATTTGATAAACATTTATTTTAACTGTAAAATAAAGACTGTAAAAATACTGTAGGATGTTCAGTTTTTATCAGTAGTATTACACGGACGGAGCGATTTTATTTACACACAAAGCATTCTGGGTAAATGATGACATGTATAGGTCCTCGGTGC